TGAACAATTTAACCTTGATCTGATAAGTCCACTTTGAATTCCTTTCTCTTCTTTTTGAAAGGCTCAGTCTTCAATCTCTTCTCCAAATAAAACCCCAAATAACAACCATTTATTTATTTATTTTATGTTATTTATCATATTTATATAGCCGCCCATCTCACACAAGGTGACTCTGGGCAGTGTACAACAATTAAAAAATAAATACATAAAAACAATTACACATTAAAAACTGTAAAAACACACAAAACATTTACGACTGGTCCTTGGAGTTCCGGCCATCCCAGCACCTCCACAGTCACATGATCAAGATCTGGGTGCTTGGCAATCACTTACACTTATGACTGGTTACAGCACCCCACAATCACATGATTGCCATGTGTAATCTTCCCTGCTGGCTTCCCCAGAAAGTCAGTGGAGAGGCTGGCAGGGAAGGTTGTAAGTTCCTGGGTTAAGTCTCCCCCACCCATGCACCATCTCCCAGCTCCTAGTGCTTGCGCCACACCGACCACTTGCGCACCATCCCCGACCTACACCATGCCTCTTGCGCACTCCCCTCACACCCTTGTGCACTCTCCCTGACCTGTGTGGTGACTCTTGCACACCCCTCATGCCCTTGTGCACAATCCCCAACTTGCGCCTCTTGTGCACTCCCTTGCACCCTCACACATGCTCCCCAACTTGCATCATGCCTCTTGCACACCCTTGTGCACCCAGCCCACACCTCTTATGTACTTCCTTGCATCCTTGCACACTCTCCCTGACCTGCACTATGCCTCTTGCATATCCCCTGGCACCCTCATGCAACCTCCTTGACCCACACCACATCTCTTGTGCACCCCCTTGTACCCTCCCTGACCCATGCAGTGCCTCTTGTGCATCCTCGTGCACCCTCCCTGATCCTCCCCCATCCTCCATTACTCCCCCACCCAGCAGTAGCCACTTATCTGCCGGCTGGCATGGGACTTGCAACTTACTGCCGGCTTCCCCACTGACTTTGGTTGTGGGAAGCTGGCAGGTAGTTGCCTCGCCTAATGACTATGGGATTCAGTTAATGATGGCAACCAGGACTGCAGGAATTGCCATCACTGAGCGGTGGAAATTCTGGTCTCAATTGCAGTTATAAGGACTACCTGTACCAAAAAATAGTGCCCCCAACTCCCAGTCCCCAGAGCCAATGCAGAAGAGAGCTATATTAGTATAGTATATGGTGGCAAAAAAAAAAAAAACAAGGAATCTGGTAGCACTTCCCCCCCCCCACCTCATCCCAATTTAAAATCAACATCAGCCTAGCCACTCTATGCAAATGAAGAAGTGAGCTGTAGCTCACAAAAGCTTAATACCATTTGTAAATTGGAAAAGGTACTACCAGACTCCTGATTTTTTGGCTATGCCTATAGACAGCAACTTATTCCTAAAAAAGCAAATGGAGTTTGGGTCATTACTAAATAGCGTTCTGTGTGTATTTTAGGTAGAGTTACTCTGGGCATTAGGACATTTAGAATACAGACATATTGAACCGCCCTTGTGTACATATTTGGAAGCAATACAGTGCACTGATACAGTGCTGCTGAATAATATGAGCATTTTAAACAAGTCTACCTACCATGTCTGTAAATTGTATTTGAATGTCAAATGTTACCTTAATAATTGAAATTTCACTTTTTAGTAAACCCTACATTTGTAGCAAATTGTTTCTAAAATCATTTACATCTGAAACAACTGAATGTTAATAGCCTTTTGGCTTGAAATGTAAAGTATTAGCTTTCCACTGCATGCTACAGATGTCAATCTGTATTTTTAGCTTTCTCTAGCGCCGCCCACCCACCATTACAGCTGTTTATCCTGACTCATAGGTTCTTCAAAGACAAGTAGTGTAATCGCAAGTATTTCTGCTTGAGGCATCTCTGCAGCTCTGTACCAGTTCAATGAATCTGAAAGATTCATTTTTAATCTTGTCTAGGGAAGACTGAATGAGAATCCTGATTTAGTAATTAAGCTCAAGTTCTCTCAGTTGTGTTTATGTTAAAACTAGCAATCTTTGTTGTTACGTTCAAATTTTCAAATGCAGTGTAGGAATATTTATGACAGTACAAAACCATAAAGAGTTTAATACAAGGAAGAAACTTTTCTTTAAGTTGTCTTAAACTAACGCAAGCAAATAACATTGTTCCATTATTATGAAGGTCTTATGTGTGATGCTGTGCCATGTTAATCTTTCACCAATCTGCTAGGACTTCTGATTCTGTAGTTGTCCAGCCCCCTGGATAAATAAGTTATATATGTTTTCTGAATTTAACAGCTGGATCCAAATATAGGAATAAAGAGTAGTAATAAAAGGCTGTCAGTGATATTACTGGGTATCATGCTATAAAATGTTGTTAGAACAGTATTGAACAAAGGTAAATTACATTTGATAGCTACTTGTTTTAAGGGGAAAAAAACTGCTAAATTTGAGAGCTGCTTGCTTTTTTTCATCTATTACAGTAGCTACCCACAAATCAAAATGAGTGTGAAATTATAGAATATTGGAGGGGAAGCCAAGGAAATAATAAACTGCCAATGGACTTTCCTTTTTAAATTCTAGTTGCTATATTCTGTCCTATCCTATCCACATATCTGCCAATACATTTTGTTAGCCAGTCCTACCTGTTTGAAAGATGTTTGATGGTCCAATTATAATGTATCTGATCACGTTTCTCAAGTAGCAGTGTGCATTCCTGGGAAAATCATTGAGGTTTTTGCAAGCACTACGAAATGAATTATTCCAGACAAGGTAAGATTCGGAACTATAACTTGAACGTGACTTCCAAATCCAAACCTTGTTTGATAAGTTTTAAGTAAGGTATGCAAGCAACTTCCTAGACTGATTCCTGGCTTGCTGGAATGAAAAAATGTCAGAGGAGCAAAGCCCATCTGCGTGGATATCACATATATCCCGATCTCTTGAGCCAAGATTCATTTCTCAAAATGCAGCCTAGAAGTGTTACTGCTGTCCTGTTCTGCCAATTCTTGACTACCACCTAAGATTCTAAAGCTAGAATCTAACAGAATAAAGGTAGAGGCATAGTATGGATTTACCTGTTAGTTATAAAAGTAGTTAACCCAAATAGAGGCCTTCTTGGACTTAGAAATGGCTTTTAAAATCACTCCATGATTTTAAAATGCAGCCCCCCATCAGTTATTGAATCTCTGCCCACCTAAACCTGTGCATCAGAGTGAGGTGGATGTTTCTTCCCTTTCTTGCTGATGACACTGAAGCCCCTTGTTCCGGTTGTTGCAGGTACTGCTCCCAGCGGCTGGTTTGTTGCAGCTGCAGGATGTAAAGAAAAGTTGCTGTGATTTCCTGGAAACTCAGCTTCATCCTGTCAACTGCTTGGGCATTCGGGCATTTGCTGATGTGCATGCGTGCACGGAGCTTCTGAACAAGGCCAACACATACGCAGGCAAGTGCAACTTCAATTCTAAAAATAATTGTGAGGATTGTGATATTATTTTTAACATTGGAGAAGCCTTTTCATATCGCTCATATCAAAGAGAATTAAAATAGACCTTTAAAGTTGTACATACCAGTATTAAATCTTTGAAGTGCAACTTCAATTCTAAAAATAATTGTGAGGATTGTGATATTATTTTTAACATTGGAGAAGCCTTTTCATATCGCTCATATCAAAGAGAATGTAAATTGCAATGGAGAAATTAAAGGTGTAGGGTAAGCAAACAAAAATTGTTTGATGATTTGATAGTAGTAAACGATCCAAAGGGGGGCTGAATATATTTCAAAACCTAACTTTCAAGATTAAAATAGACCTTTAAAGTTGTACATACCAGTATTAAATCTTTGAAAACTGGCCCCTTTTCCCTTTCTTAAAATATTATTAATGTAGTAATCCAATAGATAGGATTCAATTTGCCAGAATAAAGTAGGAATTATTGTTAATGTGGCAATCCAATACAAAGTAATTCCATTTCCCAGAATACTGTAGCTATAATAGTGATAAAATGGCAAATGGAATTGGAGTTTTATCTGGCCAGCTACCATTTTGGGGAAATGCTCTTCTCCACTGTACTTTCAAAGGCTTGTGTGAAGAGTTTTTCCTCTTGTATTAATCTTGTGTATATGTATGCTTGCATCTATGGAGTCCACCTTATAGAAAATAATTTCAATACCCTTCATTTCCTATGTTACTTTTACAGATAAAAATAGTGAGTTCAGACATACTTCACATAGTAATAAGATTTCCAGTTATGAATTGGGAGACAGTGTCTTTCCATTGAGAAAATACTGCATAAGAATTCCAGTCATTATTTTAGGGCCAAGAGCTTAAAAATGAGACTCGGCCAATGGTGTTCTCTCCTAATGTAGGTTTTCCCCACTAATCTATGCAATTAGGGCACATAAGTGATCTTTGGGCAAGCCTCTAGTCCTGCAGCAATGGGGGGTTGCAGTGGCCCAGTTCAAGCAACACAAACAGATTGTTGGGAGCGAGTTGTGGGTGAGTACCTGCACAGTCACCTGCCTTCATGGGTGTCTATTTCCTTGAACTAGAAGGTGCAGGAAATGATGATAATTAGCAAAATACCTTCCCAGTGCTTTTTCCCGCATGGAGTTCAGCTTTTCTCCCTAACAATCAGCCTATTCCATTCTTCCTTCTTAGAATGTGTTTGTCCCCAGATATTTTTGCCCACAATTCCACTGTGTCTCCTGCCATTACCTCCAACATGCATGCAAGCACTACCATTTTGGCTATATAATTTTTGGCACATATGCCCAAACACCAGAGATGGATGGAATTGTGGAATTCTTTTCCACTGGAAATCTGCCAAGCTCCTTCCCTTTCTGGGTTTAAGACAGTGCTTTGAAACTTTGTGTATCAACTGGCAACCAATACAACGGTGCTTATAAGCTTGTGAGCTCTTTTGAATTTTCAATATTTCTGCATAAATATGACCAATCATTTTTATTATGTCAATGACCAGCAAAATTTAAAATTGAAAAGGACAAAACCAAAGTGAAATGAAGCAAATATTTACAATAAGATAGTAACAACTAGTAAGATAAATCACATAAGAATATAGCAAATATGATCTAAAATGTGATCAGTTCTCCACACAAGTACTGAAACTTGTTCATTTACTGAGGAAATTGATCCAGAGTTTTTAAGCACCACTGATTGTGATCAGATTTTTTCTTTGTTTTTACAGAATTGGAAGATCTGTTTTTAAATGGATACATTTATTTTTCTGTCTCATGTTCTAATGTTGCCTTATTCATTTATTTTATTTATTTATATGATTTTATAGCTGTCTACCTCATACAAGTGATTCTGGGAGGCTTACAAAATTCAAACAAACCCACCAAACGTGACCCCCCCCCAGCACCCAAGGATAAACTGTTAACCCCACTCACCATCAATTAGAGCACAGCTCATCTATTATACTTACTTATGTTTGTTTGTGTATGCTGATAGTGTATGAGTGCTTTGTAACCTGCTTCAAGTGTATTCAACAAACAAAGTATACACAGGGTGTCCTAAAAGTCTTAGTGCAGTTCTAAGTTCTGCACTAAGACTTTGGGACACCCTGTATATGAAATAGGGTTTCTCCAGTCACTGCCATAATTTCAGTTTTTGAACCTTATTACCTAATACAGGTTTCCAAATGAAGATCTTATTGTCAGTCTTATCTTCTAAATGTAGTGGCCTTACCTTAGTAATTATGTCTGTAGTTGCACACAAACTCTAACTGGTTTTATGAAGGAGATTTCCACATTTTAAATGACATTCTTCTTTCATAGACGTGAGCTGTGTGCTCCCGCAGTCATAACTGGAAGGAAACTATTGTGTGTTTCCTAAATCTCTATAAGGATGAAATGCCTCCTATATTGCTGCAATGTATATGTTTACTTTTTTTTCCCCTTGAAACAGAACAGCACTTTACTGAGGTTGTACTGGGTGAGGAATTTCTTAGTCTTGGTGTAGAACAGGTGTGCAGCTTAATATCCAGTGACAAACTAACAATAGCATCAGAGGAAAAGGTAAGGTAATATCCTCCTAATTTGGACATAATGATATGAAATCATGTAGCAGTGTGCAAAATGTTTCAGATGCAAGTGTGAGTTTGAAATGAGCTGTTCTGTTCTGACTTGACTAGATTGGTCAGATGCTGTCCCTTTTTTGCCAGAAATATTCCAAGAGCAAAACAATTCCAGTAAGGTCAGAACTTTCTAATTTTGAATGATGATATGATGAACCCTCACCCCATGGCAGCAGATGAGGTCACCCAGCGATCTCATGTAGATATTAAATAGGAGAGGGAAGAGCACCGAACCCTGCAGCACCCCACATAGCAGGGGCTGAGGGTGGGACCTCTCCTCCCCAGTTATCACTGACTGGAATTGACTATGGAGAAAGGAGGCAAATCAGCACAGCATCGTGCTACCCACCCACAGTCCCCTAAGCCGATCCAGAAGGATACCATAGTCAATGGTATCAGAAGCTGCTGAGAGGTCATGTACGGCAAGAATGGATGCACAACTTCCATTTACCCACATCAGAGATCATCCAATTAAAATAGTTGTTGATTAGCTACTTGGATTCTTATGAAAAATGGGGGAAGTTGTGGAATATGCTTATTTCTGCCACTCCACTGAGTTTTTGAAGATTGTGTATGCATAGTTCCTCCAGTTTATTCTAATAACGGCCTTGTGAAACAGATTAGGGTGGGTATTTATGGCTTGCTAGATGAGCATCATGACTAAGCAGGGACTGGAGTTTGCATGTTTTTCGTCTGAACCTGACCATATGTGGTCTTCCTAGTTTAGACAAGTATTTTGTCTGCTGGTTATTTCTATTCTTGATTGGGAACTCTGCATTAACTGATGAGAAATGATACTTTGATGGAATAAGATAAAGATCAGCCCAATAACTTTGGAATATTTGACAAACCAGTTGAATGTAGCTAGAAGCAGTGTTAACTATAATAGCACCACATCTATAGAAACTAGTTGAGGTAACTCTGATAAGAGTTGTATTCATTACTCGGTTTGCATACTGCTCTGCTTTCAATAAGACAATCACACCACTTCATTAAGTACCCATACATTAGCAGAGTAAAAGCCATAATGAAATTGGATAATTTTAGAGCTTTTGGATACAGGTAGGTCACAATTAGTGCGAGTTGGAATAATGTAATATTTGATTTAGTGTGAATGGTAAATTGAGGCCAGATTATGTTTAATGCAATCCAAAATTCAGTTAATGCAAGAGCAATTGAGACTAGCACATGTGGAGTTTCAGTTGGGGTTTTAGATGCTACTCATCTTCATGTGTGCAAGTGGAGAAAAGGAAGATTCTGCCCAAGGAAAATAGTACAAGTTTAAAAAAGAAGAGTTCGTAATTATATTAGTGTAAAAAATTGATGTAACTGAACAACATGTAGTCATAGCAACACTAAAGTGGGATAAGATTATGGTATGCAATATTATAAAACATGCAGGGCAAATTAAAAAAAAGTAAAGTTTCATCAGCTTTTTATGGTTTGCAAACATCTTCAAGGAGAATGAGAGACAATAAAGATGCTTTCATCAATATAAGCTTATCTTTAGGACTGATATTTAGAAGTTTTTTGTTATTTTTTTGTTTTTCTTTCTATAACTGTGACTTTTTAACAATAAATTTATATTGTAAGTATATCCTTTTTATCCGACTGTAGTATTAATATACATATAAAAATTATGTTTAAACATTTCATTGCCTATTTCCATCGAGAACCAATTACCATGTTTTCCATAGAAATATCACTTTGCATAGTACAAATTCACATAATGTGACCATTTCGTGGGATTCATTAACCATACTAATTGAGACCTACCTATACTTCTCTGACATGAAATTGGTATTAGTATGGGCCACAGATAATGTATCTGTAGCCAGCAGCGTAAACAGAAAGTTGCTGCTTTTCTCAGAATGATGAAAGTGGTGTTGCAACATTGTGCCACAAACTCTGATCCTTTCAGCTATGCATGTACCATTGCAGCAGATATAGAAATGGGCTGGGGCTCCTGATGTCAGTCTGACTCCTCTGGAGTTGCGGCCTGTAGCCCTTTAGTTGTTGCTGAGCTGTAACTCCTGGTAGCTCCTGCCAGCATGACAGTGGAATGAGATGCAGAGAATGAGAGTCCAGCAACATTTGAAGGGCCACATTTCACCACCACAAAATGAACTTATTTGAGGAGGTAGTTTCATATTCCATATTGGGGCTGCCATAAGAGGCAAGGTTTTGTATTTTGTTGCTACCCGCCTAGGTAATAGGAGCATCTGAAAAAGTGTTTTGATCATAGTATGCATCAGTCCATATTCCTATGCCCTTTTGCCAAAGATTTAAAATAATACAGGGCTTTATAAGCACCAGCATTTTGAACTGCGCTTGGAAGTAGACTGTTAGCCAGTGGAGTTATGTCAACATAACTCCATTGGAGTTGGGTGGCCAATAAATTTAAATAAATAAATCACCACCACCACCACGTAGCTTTGGTATGGATAAATGTTTTAACAATAAATCAAATTTACATAAAGAAAAAAAACACAGTATGCAGAGATGGTATTAGATACACATGGTCACATAGGGCTAAATAATATGGGTCTGAGTGTGAACTGAAATACAAGTTACAGAAAATATATGTTGAGTTTTCTTTCTAATACTAAAACCCAGTTATGAAAGCTAACAGGATGAGGGTTTATACATAACCTTTAAATTCCATCTACATTAATTATTTTTCAAAACAGGGAAGTAGGCTCTTCCAGTAGTTGCAGGATGCTTTGCCTACATGTGCAGCCTATGTTTTGCCTTTTACCATCAGACAAGTGAAATTCCAAGAACCCCCTTTTTTGACAATTGTTTTTCCTTGAGCAGATGGATGTTGTCCTTAGAGCTGGCTTATTAGTAGTTGGAGATAATGGAGAAGACCCCTCTGTTGCTTAGAGAAGAGCCAGAAAAAGAAGAATGCTTAGGGAGAAGGGAAATTAGATGTGTCATTCTTTGTAATGCCGATTTTAGTAAGTTATTGTTACCATTTAAAACACATTAATTTGGTCTAGCTATGTCAAAACTTTATATGAGCTGTGTGCTCTCATTTTTAAGAGATGAATGGGTGGAGAGAATGGAAAAATAGATGAGGCACTTCTAGCTGCCTCTTACTGTATCTGTACTGGCTCCTGTTGGAAATGTCTCTTTCAATCTGAATTCTAAAATGGGCAGAATAACAGAGTTCTATATACATCTGTCAAGCAAACCATATGCAGAACTCATAATCTGTCTTTATTTTACACAAGGTATTTGAAGCAGTGATAGCTTGGGTTAACTATGACAAAGATGTGAGGCAAGAACTCATGGCACGTCTGATGGAACATGTTCGATTACCTTTGCTCTCAAAGGAATATTTGGTCCAGGTAATTAGCAGGAAGCATTTCATTCTTGGTCTTTTATTCTTTTATAGTGCAAGATAAAAGCTGGTGTAATTTGAGTAAACATAACAAAATTCCACAAACTGGTGCTTTCTAGAAGGGTTGGACCAACTTGCACAATCACATTGGGCTTGTAGGTTTGAGGATTATATCAACTGAGGGCATCATGCACAGGAAGGTTAAATTAGAGGAATATAAAAACAAAGTCTGAATCAGAGTCCCCCAATCTGGGCAACTTCAGACACACAAACTTCAACTTTCAGAATTCCCTGGTCTCTCAAGGTGAGAATTCTGGAAACTGAAATTAGCACATCTAGAAGTTGCCCAGGTAGAGAAACACTGATCTATATCAATGAAGAATTCTGTATTATTATTATAGGAGAATATTTCAAGGAGTACTTCACAAATAAAAATAGATATATAATTTATCATCATACTTTACATGTTGTGTAGGTGTCGTTTCTATTCTATATCCTGGCTACTAGGTTATTATTACCTCTGGCTTTCAACCAGCTTGTTTTTATTTGGCAATAATTGTTGGAAAAACAATTGTTTTAAAGTTCTCACTGAATCAATTCAAGACTAATGATTAAATGAAAATTACATTCATGCAAATTAGTCAGCGTGTTCTTTCTTGTTAAGACTGCATCAATATGTCTAATTCACAGAGAGTTGAAGAAGAGATACTTGTTAAAAACAGCAGTGCATGTAAAGATTACCTAATTGAAGCAATGAAGTATCATTTGTTGCCACTTGAGCAAAGAGCTCTGATGAAGACCACACGAACAAGGTTGAGAACACCTGCCTGTCTTCCAAAAGTAAGCCTGTCACTTACATGAGCTTCCTTTTTGTATTGCCTTGGGTTATATGAAAAAAAGTTAAAACACGTCATGGAGGTACGGTATGTGATTTAAGTCAGGGGTCTTTTTATTTTAAAAACATATAAATTCAGGGAATAATTGAAATAAAATATAAAATCATAGAATTGGAAGAGGTCATTTATGTCATTAATTCTAATTTCCAGTGTAGCATACAATTAAAGCATATCCAATGGTCTAGCCTCTACTTAAACCTATCTAGTGAAATTAATAAAGCAGCCAGAGAGGTATTTTCAGTATCCAGCTGCATACAAAATGTTGTTGAGTATGTCTACATTCTTATTAACATAGGGCTTTACCTTCAATCAGTATTTTATTCTAGTCACAGACCAGAGTTACAAATAAAATACAAATTTGTACAAATACAAATAAAAATGCATTAAAATGAAATAAAAC